TCAGAATGTTGATGACAAAATCAGGATATTCCTTTGAAACAAGGAACGTAACAAGTAACAGATAATTCGTTTAAAGTTTATGCAAATTTTTAAGGACTAGTCAGAAATATTTAATATAACGTCAACATCGATCAAATTTAAATCACTTAATTTAGATATGACGATTTTCATTCACTTTCTTTACTTGTATCTAATTAGTTATGCAACCAATTAGTTGAGTTGTATTTCTTGATTACAGAGTGATTGAAACTGCTATAATCGAGGGAAATAAACTAAAGGTTAAAAATTCTTGCAAGCGTAAGTAACCTATCCTTAATTTTCATGGTAAAAATTTTTACTTACAACTTATAAAAGAAAATAAAAAATATATGGTGCTGTTATTAGCTATTCTTGTGTATTTAATTGTATATTGAAAATACATATTGTAGTTGTATGGTGTTTTTGTTATTAACTATTCTTATTTAATTCTCCGCGATAAAATCAGAGAGAAAAATTAGAAAAACTTCGTTTTGGAGCGCATTTCACGCATTTGCAACAAATTGAAAGTGTCCAAAATATTTATGGACGATAGTGTACGTATACTTGGTCTCCACTTGGACCGTACAACTGCGCCCGCATATCCTCGGCTGCAGTCACCTCACGGATATCCGGTACCGATCAGCGTGATGCACGCACGCACATCTCGAATCACCATCTCGAAAATCCCATACTCTTTTTCTCTTGTGTCGCGAGCTATCGCGTCGCTTCTCACGTGATCGCGCAACCCTCTCGCGTATCCCCCACCGATCACCACGGCAAAAACCCTCTCGCCGTGCAAATTGCTCGACGCTTTTTCCGGGTGTCGTTACTCCTTCTTGATATGCTATTAAATTAGCCGCGATAGGGGAAAGGAATGTTCCACGTGCGAAGTTTCATAAATTAAAAAACATGCATGGCAGTATATACGTAGTTCCTTTACTGATAGAAACAGAAAAAATGGCGATAACAGATCCAAGAAACTAAAGAATGCACAACGAAATTTCGGTGTACGATATAACATTCCAATCTGAACAAACTATCTGAAACTATAATATCCTTGGGTAATGTATTTCAGAAAATTAAATAGGGGAATTAAAATTAATAATGATAAAGTGCCAAGAATAGCGGTTAAACTTATATCATAAATTAATAATAAATAAAATTTATTGTGGTATAAAATAACTTTTATATTACATTTATTAATTTCAGATGAAATTTAAGTTAATAATAATATAAATTTATAAATTAAAATGTAAAAAAATTGAATAATAAACTAGGATTAGATACTCTATTATATTCAAATAGTAAATTTTTCTAATTAAATGTAAAATCATTGAAATAAATTAATATGGCAGCCTTTTAATCTTTTTAGGGAAATTTGTTATTTAATTTGATAATCCACGATAGGAAATACTTAAATTGAATTTACGTATTGTTAAAATTTATAAATAAAAAAATTTCCTCTCATAATATCCTCAAAAATTCATAAAAACAAAAGTACACGAAATTCCAGGGTTGAAACCTTTCGATGGGATAAGCGGGCGGGCAAATCGTTTCTTTAAAAATCGTTCACAAAATCATTAAGTTCACCGCGTGGTCGGTGTTTCGTGCGTTGAAGATCCGCCGGCGAAACTTTCGTTCGAGATGGATGGCTTTTTAACGATTTTCCCGCGCGATTATCACATGGATGCAAATTTTTGCCACACGCTCCGGCGTGTTACGTCTCCGTAAAACGGCGCGCGGCTCGGCTCACGCTTCGCTGATCCGAACACTGCTATCGGGGACCAAAGCCGCGCGGCGCTCGGCAAACTCGTTTGCTCATTAAAATCTCATAAAACGTTGATACGTCTTTAATCTGCCGTCGGCGAGAGCGTTTCCCGTGCTCGAGGAAATCCCAGAGTGTGGCCTTAACTTTGATCCTAGACTGGAGGAACGATCAACGGCCGCCTCTGCCCGTGGCAAGCGAACCGGGACGAAAGAATCACTGGGAACAGTTAGCCGGGACACGTCCACGTCGTGTGAATGCCACGGCACAGCTTCGATTCAGGAAAGCCTCTCTCGGAAAGTAATATTTGCCCTGGTTACCAAGAACAGCACTTTTCATTGTTCGGATCTTCTCGTCACGAAGCTGTACTCGCTGTCTGAATCGAACTGTTTAGGTGATAGATGAGGGTAGGATAGCAACCCCTTGCGCTGGCAACTGATTGCGGACCATAACGAGTGACCGAAACAAACTGTATACAATAATTCGTCGCTTTCTTTCTCTTTTGATCTCGTCGGTGTGACATCACTCGATATAAATGATTAAGAAGTAATAAACTTGTCACTCATTAAATATACTTAACTGTACTATAAAATAAATATATAAATATACTAAACTGAGAAAATGTTGCAAGAGGTTAACGATGGAATTACCAGAGTCGTCGAAATAAACGGTTCGTAATTTTGAAATTCAGTCTTCTCTTCGCTCGACTTCAAATATTTAACTATTATTTTACAACAGTTTATACAGAATAACTTTTCTTCAAATAAGAGAAGAAAAAAATACTCGGTATGATATAGTAAGCTGTAGAATAAAGGATAAAACTAACGAGTGAGGATAACTGAATATTCAAAAATTTTGAATTACGCGAGAAACTACTAATTTACCGTATAGAAAATAGCTGAATTTTGTGAAACGTGAATTTTTCCAGGAAATTTTTCATCGATATTCCGCTCGATGCGAAAAAATTTTTACAACATAGCTTTCATATTCACGTTGGGAGATGAATGAATTAAATAGCAGAAGTAACAACAGTTTTTCCAATTTAATAACGTTACTAAATGACATCAAAATCAAATAAAAATGAACCATCGTGATCGATTTTGTAATTTCAAAAAAAAGTCGAACACTGTATTCCTCAATTTCTCACCGAAGATACTCGATTCTAACTAAATTCTACGATCAATTTCCCAATAACGTTGCTCTCGCGCTTTCCATTTCGAAAGTCGTTCGAAATCCGATTTGGCCGGCGCAACGCTCGAGGTCGAAGTTAGCAACGGGGTGTTCGAATTAGCGTTTCAGACCATGGATAAATATAGAGGGGCCACCCAGCGAGTAAACTAATGTACGTGGAGGTAAAGCACAGTTTCGTTTCTCTCCAGTCTCTCTTTTTGTCACTTTCTCTCTCCCTCCCTTTCGTTCATCTGCGTCACCCTTTGCATATATTTTCACGCGAAACCACGTCCACTTTCTGAATTATGCGACGTTTCCACCGACCTCGAACCAACCCTCTGCTTTCCGACAAGTGATATACTATTAGCCCATTAGGCACCATGCGATAATTCATCGTAATTGGACTGAGGATAATTTGTGCAAATTAACACGCATCTTTTTTTTTATGGAGACAATTGAAAAGTTAAAACTAAATAGAAAATTGTTTTGTCTGATATATTTCACGTATTTCTACGTATTCCTACGCATTTCTTTTTATCTTCGAAAATCTGAAGTCTAATCGTTACATTCAATAAATCTGACCTGAATAAATTATAGAATTTGGAGAAAAAGTTTCATTTTACTTATTGACTTCTGTAATGAACACGGCATTTTGAATATTTTATATATTTCAAATTTCCCATAAATGCTTAATCCAATCAACATTTCCGCAAATATTTCACTTTCCTTAAGTTTCATAAAATTATAGAATTTTAATATGTTAATATAGAATTTGAATATCTAATTATAGAATTTAAATATATTTCCTAGCCTCGGAGTTTCCTTTTGTAGCTCCGACATTAAGAAAAATAGAATTTATCGATACAATTTGCAATCGTAGAGAATTCCGAATAAAAAGTTGCGTTAACGGCAAATATTCCTTAATGGGTTAAGGCCATCCTAGGATAAATCGTCGATGTTTTCACAATGTGAGCAAACGCAACGTCGTCTCAACCCTTTGGCAACATGACGCGGTATATCGTCTGAGAAATCGAATTTTCCGCGCATTCAGAGGGAGGCAGAAAATGCGAGGAGCGTGAGAGTAATGTCCTTGTCACTGGAAACATGTAAGCTATGTTGTACATTTTGTGGCGCATACATATTGTCTGTACTGTCACGATTTGCAGAAAATTTCTGCTTCTCAGATGTGCCAGATGCGCTTTGGTATTACAGACGGAACATGATGGTATTACAAAGTCTCTTAGTCATTCGTCAAATCTCCTAATGCGTGATGAGAGAATGTAACGTAATCTGCGTGGATCAATTAACGTTTGATTCATAATTTAATGAGGCTTCCAAGCCAATTAATAAATTATTTTATCTTTTCAATACTTATGAAAATAATTTATCAAAAGATAGAACCTTGTACCCGAAGTTGTATTGAAATATTTAACTAGCAATGCAGTGTTATATTTATGATATTTATTCTAGTTGAAAAATAGAATAGAGAATATCTTTGTTAGCGTAGAAAAATTTTATCTGAAAGGTCATTATGGATTATCTCGGATCGTAATGATATCCAAGGTAGGGTTGATGTAGAAATTTTTCAAAAAACCAGGTTATCATAGCGACACATAAATTCTGAAATATAGGTACCAATACTAATATCTACAATGAAATGTACTAATCCCTCTACAAGTTTCATTAAAAGACGAACAAAAATTATACTGATCAATCTCTCAGTTGATACTACTAGAAGGAGGAAACTTTGAAAATTTCTCTAAAATTCCACTAACCAATCTTCTAATTAATACTACAAATCCCTCTCATTTTATTTTATTTCATTGAAAATAAAAAGAAGCTCTCAAAAGTTAAAAAGCGAAAACAACTGCGTTCCAAATTAACAGCTATTACACATTTTGTATTTTCGCGGGCCATATGAAAATTATTCCTCAGCGCGAAAATGATCGAGAATGAAATTCGATATGTCTCTCATCGTTCTATTGAAACTTGCTTGATTTTATTATATAATTTTATTCACAAGAGATATTTGGAATACTGTGCTCACCTTGAACCCAAAGCTGTTCGACCTTGCTGTGAACCTGAGCGGACTTGAGAGCGACGCAGAACGTAGCCAAAGCGACGATAGCGAGAAAGAGGACCTTGCCTGCGTGCCTCTGCAGGAAGTAGCCCAACTGACCCAGCTGATCCTGCAGCGTTGCCCTGATCCACACCGCGGACCTCTGACCTTCCGCTTTGCCCTGAAAAATAAGACACCTGAAACTTTAGGCTATCGTCACAACGACTTAAACTTAATCGTTGAATGTCAAATGTGATAAAATTCAGTCAAATCTAGATTCAGATTTAAATTTAAATTCATGCCTAAAATTTCATACGTTCTATTTTTGCTTTGTACAGATCGCAAGAAAATTGAATATCTAAAACTGTGCGCACGCTTTCAAAAGCTTGATTGTTCGTGAATGGTCACTGTTCGTTCACACTCGAATCTGAAGTACTTTTTGGACAGTTATTCACACCAAATTCTCATATGTGCTCCCATATTTAAAGTTCTAGCAATATTGAACCAAGATAATTCATTAAGAATTTTTGGGTTAAGAAAAATTATCGCACCGACACCGTTTCGTTCGCACAAATAATTACCGAACTACGGATTTCTATGTATTTATAGAAAATTTAAAAATGCACGGATATAAAATGTATAAAATATGAAACGTATGGCATTCGTCAGACTATTCAACGAGTGAGATAAATCTTTATCTGCGTTCGTGAAAATATAAATTTGCATGAACATTCTCAGTCTAATGATCACAATTTCATTCGCATTAGCATTTAAATCGCGTTGCAGTGTAAACTCGATGGAAACTTAAACCACTTCCTATGGTACGTTCGGGCTTCCAATTCAATAGATCAGGTTTATGATTTTCAAGAAGAAAGAATAGATTCCGGCGGTTAAAGGGTAGCGAGGCCGAAACGGCAGCTGAAGCGCTTTAAATTGGCCGCGTGGGCTTTGATGATGATAAGTAGCTGGCTGCGGGTTGTAGATACTCGTACGAACATACCACCTCTTCGATGAAACACGTTAGAAGAGAGAAGAAGAGGGTACATGTCAGACACGATTGAAAAATAAAGGAAAACAGCATGTGAATGAAGTTTGGAAAAGATAAATGAGAATTATCACGGAACTGAGAAAGAGATTGAAGAGATCAAGGATTAGTATTGTTTAAATAAACTTTAATTAAACGTGATTTTTAATATACATTTGGAGTACTCGAAATTCTGTATATTGTAATTTGTCGTGACGTATCATTGAGAACACAATATTGGATGAATTTCATTTTAATATTATTCAATATTCAAATCCAATCGTCAAAACAAAAAATTCCAATTCAAATCATATACATTAGAAATACACATTACACTTTCGTGTTATTAATAATTTTTATATTCGGATGCAATTTGGCGATTAATGTAACCTTGTTCGAGCACATGACACAGATCGCTGTACTCCAAAACCATCCCTCGCCATATACATATACACCGACAAACAAGACGAAAGCAAATCATCCCCAAAAGAAAGACTCGAGCCGAAAGAATCATATCAAGAAATGAAAAAAAATAAAAAAAATAAATAAAAAAATAAAAAAACAGGCGAATGAAAGAAGAAGTTAAAAACCTAAGGAAGAAAGAGGGTAGGATGGACGGGGAGGGCAACATTGCGAGCGGCAACGTTGCACACTACCTGGTGGCCGGTCTGACAATGTGCACCAGGGACCACCCGCAACAATACCTATCTTTCCTGGCCGACAGGGAAAGAAAGACGGAGAAGGAAGGCCGCAAGAGGAGAGGCACACGGATCAGAAGGGAATCGAGCTTGCAGGAGGAAAGGAACGAACGATTTTCTCTTTTCTCTACAACCTTTCTCTCTCTCTCTTTCTCTCCGTGCGCTGCCGTGTGTGTACTCTCGTTCTCGGGGTACAGTTAGAGAGAGCAACGGTGAAGGCAGAGAGAGAGAGAGAAACGCAGGGAGAAAGGAAGAAAGAGAGAAGAAAGGCGGCGTGCAAGCAACGCCGGGCGCACGATAGACGTGCAGATGAAAATACAGATTACACACGCTTACGTATCTCGGGGCAGTAGCCGGGCATCGAGTATCGGATAGCAAGGTTTTCCAGCCAATTAACCCCGGTGCCGCGGCCTCGCGGCCTGCCAGACTCGGGTAACTCTAGACGTGCAGACAATCCTCGTCGGCCACATGGTCCCCGGGGAACCACCGCTTCCCACCAGACCTCCCCGTTCCAACGCGCTCCGACTGATGACCGCGTGTTTACCCTCTACTCCCGAAGGAAACTGCGCGCTTCTCTTTCGAAGAAGACACACTCTCTCTCTCTCTCTCTCTCTCTCTCTCTCTCTCGCTCGCTCGCTCGCTTTTATAATCACTTGCGCTGGCAACTGATTGCGGACCATAACGAGCGACCAAACCGTAATACAATAATTCGCCGCTTGTCGATATGATATCACTGGATAGAAATTAACGAGAAGCAATAAATTTATTATACGTTCTGCCTGGGTTATACTTAAATATACTTAGAACTGAGAAAATGTTGCAATTTTGGGAGAAAAAATTCTCGATGTGCGTGGCACGTCATTATGGCGGAAGTGGTTAACCACTTGCGCCGGCAACTGATTGCGGACCGTAACGAGTGACCAAACCGTACACAGTAATTCGTCGCTTTCTTTTTGAAAAAATACTCGTCGGTATGATATATCACTGGATAGAAATTATTGAGAAGCAGTAAATTTATTATACGTTCTACTTGGGTTATATTTAAATATACTTGGAACTGAGAAAATGTTGCAATTTTGAGACAAAAAATTCTCGACATGCGTGGCTCAGAGGTTCCCCCACGAAACACGTGCGCATGCACCGATTTCTACGTTTCACGATGCATGTCGCAATACGTGTGGGCAAATTGACCTCTAATGCAGGTTTCATGAAACCTAGAAGTCGACGTGTGTGGAGGAGCCTTTACTCTTTCATTCAAGAACGATCGATCGATCGATCAGTCGATAGTTGGGTGCACGAGTTTCGAACAGTGGAATTCGGGATTCCGCTTTTTATTTTCTGTGCGTCGATTCTTTATCAATTCAATTCTCGGACAATGCTTGTAAATATGTTTGTCTTTTAAATGCAACTTGAAAAGTCGAAAAGATACGTACTACTGGGACTGACCGAGCAATTGCTATGCATGCGAGTATAATAAAACTGGCCACTGTTCGAGGATTAAAGCAGAAATCGCATTAAACGAGACAAATTACAGAGACTAGTAGGCTGCGGATATTTATGTGCTATTTATAATATATGTAATAGTATATAAAATAAAATATTTATTAATATTTGGCAGATGGAAAGGTTATATCTTTGTAAAGTCTTTAAAATCTTGACAGGTTAAGATTCAGGGGACGAAAATTGGGTGAAATTTAGAATCGGAAGAGATCACGATACAATCCTGAATTTGACTGTTTAATAAACGCGATGAAACGACGTCTTTTGCAATGCTAATGATCGATTGAAAGTGCAAAATTATATCATTGTTCTCTCTCGGTCTTATCTTTATGTTCGTAAAACATACTTGTGGTGGCTTCGTCAGAGCCATTCTTGACAGTTATCTGTTTAACTATAATATCCGTCTTTTGCTAGCTTTATATTTGCATACAAAGCACAATTTCATCCGTACACTTATTACATATTACACAATCGTACACAATCGTGCAGAATTTTATTCGTCGACGCTCATTCGTCGTTATGCCGATCGTCTCGAGCAAAACGACAAACCTAAAGAAACAGAATTTCCTAGAATTTTACGTAACTGCAGGAAACATTTCGAAATAAATTGAATTTTTAAATTCAATTCAATGTATTTGTTCAATTTATGATAATAAACATTCATAATTTATTATTATTACATTCTAATAATAAACGCAAATAATATTACTGAATAAATCGTTAAAAAAAAACACAATTGGAGCGAGTCACAGAAGTGTATATATACATGCTCTCGATGCTCCAAAAATGATTACGTAACAGATACGTAACAGATACAAATCAGATAAATCAGATAAATTGCCGCGACAATTTTCATTGAGAAACGGTCGTATTATGTTTCCTCCCGTCGGCGTAAACGCATGAAAAAAAAAAAAAATAATAATAATAATAACAAATAAAACCCATTCGAACAAGGCCTGACAATCGAATTCTTATTTTACGTCCATCCCCGTCAAAGAATTAAACGGCGATTACGATCGAGTACAAGCAACAAGAACGGGCGCATCACTGTCGTCGACTTCGTGAAGCGAGCCTGTGCCTGACAGGATCTTTATATATAGTGACGGAATAATGCGAAAGAGAGAAGAAACCTCGGGAGAGGGAAATTCGACGAGGCAAAAGGCCAGTGGGGTCGGGAGGGGGGGGGGGCGGAAACGTTTAACGAATTTATGTTATTCGTACTTTTAGTGTTTTTCTTACAGCCGCGACACGAGGTTCGCGAGGAGATAGCAGACAGCATAACAGGATCTTATGTCAACGACGGTGGTCCCCACGCCACGAGGTTGTAATATGTAGATATTGCCCGCCACGAGAAACCCCATAAGGCCCCGCGGGGACCACTTACGGGAAAAAGGGGGGAATTCCACCGCTTCGTTGCTCTCTTTCCCTCCTCCGCGACAGTATACATACAAGGCCTATATAGACGTCTCGAAAGCGACTCGTGGCGTCTGCGCTCCCTTTTTCTCCTTTTCTTTGCTCTTCTCTCGCGTCCCTTCCAGTTTAATTCTAGTCTCACTTCTGTACGTGAAAATTCGAGTGGAGTTTCTCAGATTGATTTGTTTGAGAATAAAAGTAGAGCATTTTAGGACTGTGATAAATAATATTGGTTTTGTAAGATTAATGTTTTATTCGTAATTTATACCGTCGCATAAAACGAATGTAATTCAAATTATATTCTGTTGAAAAGTGGCAAATGCAATTTTTCAGGTATCAATCGATACGTAGGTATCTTTTCCTATCTTTGAACCTTGTTCCAAACCTTCGCGTCGTGCGTGTATCATTAACAAAATCCAAGAGCGTTTCTCACTCGCGTTAGAAATTTACTCCCGTCGAGCAATGAAATTGAATACACGGTCGAGCGAGGAGGCCAGGGAAGGGGTTCCCAAAGTGTGGGTGGACGAAGCGAGATGTTGTCTCTTC